AAATCGAATACAATACATTTTAAGTTCGAGGGTCCAAACTTTTCTCCTCCTTAATAATACTTCTATATTAGTTCACATATATTTTCATAAATAATGAGGATTTGTTGTAAAATTTGTCAGCCTATGACCCCTCTAAATTTCTCTAAAATTCCCCTTAAATAAAACGTTTTTAAATTTTAAATATTACAAAATATAAAACACATTTAAAAGTTTTTCTTTTTTCAAATTTACTGTGAAAAAATATCATTAGTCATTCTCACAGCAGTGTAAAATACCCTAATAAAGCCAGTAAGTTACTTAGTGACGCATTTATCGTACGTTTTATTTTAATATTTGTACTTTTGTAAGATATAATATTTTGTAATTATACTTGAACTGTGTTCTTTTATTAGATAATTATTGTAATTTATTGTTTTTCTATAATAAACCAAAAAAGAAAAGGAATGTTAAGTAAGGGAATAACATAAAATAATGTATAGTAAAAAATGATGGAATAATATATAATATATATATAATAATCCAACCTTGATTCTGTATGTCACACTGTATTTCACTCATTTTGCTCTACGCTTTGTATAGTCAATATGATTGTGTAAAGGACAGATTATTCGTCCTTCATCAATATTAACAATTAACAACTATACTAATGCTTGATCAGCACAAACGACCCTACAGCTCAACTATGAGTTTGTGGCGCGTGGGTGTAAATAAACCGATTGCACACTTTTCTTAAATTAATTAAAAAACATAACGAAGTCAGTCGACATTTTATCACGCTTCCGGAAACTTACCTTTATTGATCCGATAACTTAACTCTGGCAGTATTATTGTGGTTACTAAATTAAATACTATTATTGTTTACTTATTATTATTATTATTTCGGGTTGTGTACACTCGCTGGTGTCACTCACCTAATTTGGATACCACCAACATCTCTAAAGATCCAGTCAGGTTAATTTAAATAATATTAAATAAAAAAAAAATGCTTGTTAGTTGAGAGTCTATATTTATTTGGTCACGAAACCGCTAACTGCCCTTTTTGTGGGATATAAATTATATAGACATATACAGCTTTGCCCCGTTTAGGTACAGCTTAGCCAACTGTTAGGACCCTAGCGGAAAAGTACGTTGCAAATGTTTAGAAAAACGATTTAATTTTAAATAATTCGAAATTGTCACACAATATCGATGACTGACTTTTATATGTAAAAGATTCTAAACACTATATTTTCATTATAAATATAATATAATATTTTACCCTTATTACATTTCTATTGAATAAGTTTTTTTTTGAGAGAGAGTATATTTTATTGGGAGATTGACACCAATATTTCTTAAATCTTCCTCTGGTCTAGCCATAACAACATTCAAAAATATTTTATTAATGTAAATATTTTATTAAGGTTCTATTGTGGTAGTTCAATGTGTCCCGGAGCTGATCCCTTGAAAGGACGCGGCACAATAATTACCAAAACAAAAATTAAACACTAAAAACATATTCGTATATTATTTTGCGATGTTCGTTAAATCAAAGCCATTAAGTTCAACGACTAACTACCCAACACACATAGGCTTACCAATATATTTTAACCTAATATATACTTAATCCTAAAATAATATCTAGTCGCAACTTTTACTCTGTTCACCGGTGCAATGTTCGTTAGAATAAAAACATTAAGCTTTAAAACCAGCTACCCAATATGAAAAACTCACAATAAATTTTTACTATTAAATAATAATTTAAATTTGAATTGGATTTATTATTAAAATGTTTGACGTTTAAAATATTAATTGACATTTATTTTCACGATAAGAAAAATAAAACATTATTATTTTATGAATAAATAAATTTTAATTAAAAGATTCACCAAAACAAAATTCACTTTAAATTTATTCTAAGTTCCGTTTAATTTGAAAAAAAATGTTCTAAGTCCAAAATAATTTAAAAAAAAATACTTAGTGTTTTTAAATCGATATATATATATAAAGTTCAAATTTAATAAGTCCCAGGGGTGAGAATCGCAGAGTAGAGTGTCGCAGTCATTGTGCATTTTAAAATTACCGATAAAACTGATTTTTTTTTGGAAAAATTGGGTATTTTTTGTTCAATGCTATTGGCTGGACTTAATTGAGAATCTACATATAGGCGTTACTTTAGATCTCTACAATAGTCAGATTTTATCCCCTAGTTAACTGGTTATTTTCAATTTTAAATAAGGGAATCCTATTTTGGTGATCTTGTAAATTCATAATATGTGACATATACGTATAAAAGATAACACCATGTAACATCCTAATATTATAATTAATAATATAATATTTTATTTGATTGAGATCACAAAATTGTGCATATATACCTATGCAGACATTTTTGTTAATTACCACAATTAACAATGGTTGAAGTATTCCGCCAGTACTAGAAACTGACCAACCAACCCGTACAATCGTATTACTAGCTGGCGTCTTGTCTATGTTCTGATCTAATATTTGTGGTAGTCAGTACTTGTTGTCATTCCTATGCCATTTTATAACACAACAGAAAAATACGAAATTTTAAGCTTTTCACATAAATTTACTGTAAATAATAATTATATAAGTTTTTGATCACATAGTGACCTAAAATTAAGATTTTTTAAATTCTTATAAAATTTTCTATTGAATCATATCACTTTTTAACTTTTAGGTTGAGCTAAAATAATGTTTAAAAATTCCAAATTTCTAAATAATATTCTATTATTATTAACTATGAAAAATCAATAATAACTTGATAAAATTTTTTTAAGTTTTTAATTAAGATCTTATGTGTAAATACTCGTTTTCTAATTAGTAATAATCTCAAAAAAGAGGTGATAGAAAAAAACTAATTTGTAATTTTAAATCAGCATATTTATTTGGTTTTATTGTGTAATTCAGTATAAAAAAAATTTATACTTATATTTTATAATATCAATAGAGATGTTTAAATAAAAAAAAATTGTCTTGAAGTTGCCATTTTTACAGTTGCGTAATTTTAAGATATTCGTCAAAATTTTTCAAATTTTCCAATATTTAGTGACTATAAGTTCAACTAGATTATAATCATGTTCTTTTGATGTATTGATTATTAAAATTGGTCCAGTGAGATCTAAGAATTTTTTTTTTTACAAATATAAAAATAACGCATAGAATTACAACACCAATACCATTTTAGTTTCGCGTCAAAACTAAAAAACAATCAAAAGTTGTTATAAAAATTGAAAAAATTGGTCTAGTAAGGACAGAAAAAAATGAATAATAGACACTTAAAAAAACTATAATATAGTTTTTTATTATAATTATTTTACTATATTATAGTAAAATAATTTCAATATGAATGAGAAATTCCTTCTCACAGGGGAACACTACAGTAATATGGTCCTTAATATTCATTAAAGTTATTAAATCTAAAGGAGTTAAAAAACAAACAAATTTTTAATTTTTTTTTCTCAAAAAGAATTATGAAAAAAAGGATATTTAGGCATGCAAAGTTTGACCTTTGTAACTCGAGCATGAAAGACTGTAGTGTTACAGACACGAATACCATTCAACAGATGTATTGATAGCTAAAAAGGACAATTTAAGCTAGTTCGAAGTCGTTTTTTTTCACTTGGGGAAGGTAAAATATATTTAAATTTATATTCAATTTAAGTTAGATTTATGTAACTTTTATAAAAATCGGTCGCCTCATTACTATAGCAAACAACCAACTTCTAAAATATATAAATCATATTATTTTTTATATTTTTAAATTTAATGCTTGAGTCATACTTGAATAATCACTTGCATACATATCCTATGTTTTCTATAGAAAAATTATTTTTCTATCGATATATTTTCATTAAGCAATATAGAAATGGAAATCGATTGATTTTAAATAATGTTAATACAGTATGTTGGTAAAATTAAGAATATATTGTAGACATTTTTGAGAAATATAATCTCAAATCGAACAAAATATACATTATGTAAAGGTTTCAAACTAATTTTTCTCATCCTAAATAATACTTCTATATTAATTCACATATCATTTTCATAAATAATAGGGATTTGTTGTAGAATTTGACAGCCTAAACTCTCTTTAAACTTCTTTAAATAAATAAAAAAAAAACTTATTTCTAGATTCATTTTTTAATTTTCAGGCATTATCTTAGATAGTAAGGGAAATTGAAAGAATGGCAAGGACATAACTTATGTTACTGAAATTTTGCTCATATTTTTCACGAGGAGTAAATATTTAAAGTTTATTATATAAATGTTGTTTATTCAAAAATTAATGTATGAGTTTGATAATTAGTAATTTGATAGAGAAAAGCCTTGGGTATGAAAGTACTATTCGACGTTTTCAAAAATACTACCTATCACTTATAAAATTACATGCAAACACTTGCATGATTCATTGTTGTATTGATACAAAAAGCAAAAACTATTGTAAAGATAAATTTTTAATATTAAAGATTGTGGCATAATTCAATAGATAAGATTATTATAAATCTACAAATTAAAATTATTAGCAATGTATAAAATAAAGTCAGAAATAATTCAACAAATAAAATTTATAAATATATATTACATAAGTATTATCATTACTATAAAATAAAAAAAATGTATTAACGCCATTAAAAACAATAATTCTAACAAAATCATTTCACTCCCAATATAACTACAAAAAAATTAGCGTGCCAAAATAACGTCATTACAAGTTAATGCGCTATTTCCAATCAATGAAAAATTACAGTGTTGTTCCCCATTATAAATAACAATATTTGGTTAGCTTTCTATGGCTTTAAGTTACTTAACAAGAGACTTCACGATTATTTTTTGAAAAACATTCATTCTACATCCTATAGATTTCAATATATAGCTATTCAAATTTATTATTTAAATATTAGATTTATAACCTCCATTGTGTATTTTTGAATTAAATATGTACTAATAAACACAAATAGCGAAACAAATATTTTTCTATTTAAACCTGTTTCAACTTATCTATTCAATATAAAAATATAATTGTACTATTTCATTTCCAAAATCTATTAAATATTCTATTAAGAAATATTCTAGAATGTATTGGAAAATTTATTTCGGTATATTATTATGTGTTACAAAATCATTTTCGACGGATTCGGTAATTAAAATAAAAGTTTATTATTTATTTTTACATTCTTTAACAAAAGAAACTTAAAAAAATTATCATTAAATTATTTATGGCAACATAATATAATACAATTTTATGTTATTAGGTCATAGAACATATGTTTATTTATGAAAGTGAAGAGTCATCTAGCGTAACGAATATGGTAATTATAATTAAATTTTTGATTCGAGTTAATCATCTCCCTTCTCTAGTCTCTTTTCTATTTTTAAATAATGGTATATAACATGACACTCCGAAAATTTTTTTTTTTATCTAATATTATTTTTGTTTACTTAATATTTTTTATTAAAACTTCTTCAATGGCTTTCGTGTTTTACCTTATCACCATCCGCCTAAGTGGCATTGTGTAGGTTGTAAAGAAATATGGTCAGGCGAGAATTAAAAATAGTTACAACCCCTCTTTGACCCTATCAAAGTTCAAGGGATACCCCGATGTAGAATAGAACCCCCTTTTAAACCTAACTACAACTTACGGTTCCACCTCTTGTAAACCCAGTGTAACCTCCTCCTCCCTCGATACATGAAAGCTTTTTTAAAATCAAGGTAGTCCACGTAACAAATGTTTAGATTAACTTGGGCATGCACGCTATAGCTTAAACCCTACACAATGAAAGGGGAGAATTGGTTCTGTCAGAATAGCGAAGCTTTTATCAACGTAGCCTTTTACTCGAGGTTAGGACAAGCGAAAACTCTATGTAAACTAATTTATAGTCAAGTGGAGAGGGTAAAGGTTCTCAAGCTTAGCTAGAGGTCGTAGTTTATATACAGAATCAAACCTAATTAGGGATTAGTGAAGAGGATAAATAGGGAGGTCTTAGTGTAATCATTGAAATGTCCTATGTTGTGAGTACGTTTTATTATTACTTATTACTATTATCTATTTTATAGGAAAACGTACGTCATAGTTATATCCTTCGTTGTAGTGTATAATACGTTAAGATAGATAGGTAGCAGCCACTGTCAACATTGTTCTACATGTGTTTTTTACTATACCTAGAATCATTTAGTTGTTAATAAGAGCACAATAGTAACCCGTCAGTTAGTGTTAGGTTTAAAGAGGGGTTCTAGTCTACATCGGTTCTCCTTGAACTTTGGTTGGGTTAAAGAGGGGAAATCGCTATTCTTGATTCTACCCTTAACTTACCTCCCAAGTTACCCACTTTTCCATTCCAGACCACGCCCCTTTCCCGCACCGGTCGACTGGTGAGATTGTTAAGTGAGGGAGCCGATGAATCCCCAAAATTACCCTACATGTACTGATTTATATTTACATAAAGTATTTTTTTAAATATTTTCTAAATAAGGTTTTTTTAAAAATCTTTTCTTACAAATACACAGCAACTTTAGAACAAATACTTATTGTGTTATAAGAATTTCAGTACAATAAATGGGTATATAATGCTGGTGTAATTAATCAGTGGCGGCTCGTGGCTTAGACAACAGGACGATCGCACCTCCTACTAAAATTAATAAAAAAAAAGAAAATTAACTGTATATTCATAATTCTACATTTCTATTAAAAATGCAAATTTTTAAATAGTAAAATAGTTATAATACACTTGTGGTGTGTGAACATTAAAGTCGTTTTTCTCGGTATATTCGGTTACACGTGAACACACGAGCAGTGTTTGAACGACCGACAGCGTCGTCTGAACAATATTTTGAAACATATTTACGACACACTGAACGTGTGCGTGCGGGTACAGTTCAGCGTGAACTTATGTACAGGTTTTAGACGACCGGTAACGTCATCCATACTGTAAAATATTAGCATATTACTATATTGGTAATTTATTTTTAGAATTAAATACGTGTACGCTCATCGTTATCTCCCTGTAAATACTATTTTACTAAGCCCCTCATTATAGCTCGACCTGGAAGAGATTTTAACTTTCCGTTTTAAAATTCGATTCGTTCTCCAATCGCCGCGATTCTTGTATCGTTCGACGGAGTTCGTCGTTACGCGTCTTTTCCGACCGCTGCTCGAATTTTTCGCCGTCCCCATTTTCTTAATCATTTGCTATAATAGCAAAATAGCTATTACTATTATTTTCATTTCTATTTTCTACTGCGACCTTCAAAATAATAATACGTTTTATTTTATTATATTTAATTTTACAAATTTTTGTAACTTGTATGTTAATGCATACATAAAAAAAAAATTAACATTTAAATATTGATTGTATCAAAAGTTATAGGAATCGCCATGAATTTTATTAAACAATTTTTTTTGTGTTCAGAGAATTTTTATTACAACAAATTTACATGTTTTTTTTTTAATTTTGTATAAGCCACAAGTGTTCATATTAATGGGATTACACTATACTGTTATATAAAATTAATAATAATCCAACAAATTTAAAGTCTAACACATGAAATATCAACATTTTAAATTAAAATTGAAATTTAATGTTTTTTTTTTATTCTAATTTCTGGTTTAAAACGAATTACAAAATATTAGTATAATTAATTTATAATTTATAAAAATACCATAAGATGATTTATATTCCGATTTATTAAAAGAAATGTTTACTTTGATTTTTCAAATCACCTTTAAGGAAGTTACGGAAATCGAAAATACAGAAGAAATATTTAAGAATTATTGCTTACCAAAAAATAATACTTCAGGTATTGTTCGTGTTGAAATTTGTTTATACGGTTTGAAAAGTATATTAAGCCAAAAAAAGCCGGCTTACAATATCAGTAACATAAAATACATTATAGAAAAATTGTGGAACTTCGATGGTAAGGATGTATATTTAAATATCGTTATGTAATTATGCGATATATATTCTAGTACACGCGATTATCTGCACTTCAATGCGAAGCTTAGAGGGTATTAATTTTACCTACCGTGATGTGTTTTTATGGCTCTCGCTTCTTTTTCATGATATTTTTAACAATAAGTTAAAAATAAATCATCATGTTTCGTGTTATTGTGGTTTTCTATTGTATTTTTTTTATACATTATGACTAAGATCATCTGCATAAATGGTTTATATATTTACATTGTTGATATTACAAGTATGTTGTTTTTACATTATATTATTAAAACTATTTATCCCACGTTGTTGTCCAGGATGATAGATAAAAAACAATAATAAATATTGTAAATTAAAAAGGTTAACTATCTTCATTGACGCCGACTTCTAATCTATGTATTGCATATTCAATATTTTTTTTATAAATGTCATTCAAGAGTTAACACAACGATGAAACTAAAATAGTTGTTTTATGTAAAATGTCAATTAAAGATGGCGTGGTGTGTCGCGGTGGACACACTAGATGTTAACAAAACTCTAGTGTTAAGCCGTACCTGTAGTGTACAAACGAGTAATACCATACTTGCGTTTAAGATGATAAAGGCACCATGTCCCCAGCGCAGAAGGCAACGGGCAACCATTTCACTTATACTTTTAAAAGTAAAACTAGTTCATCTTAGGGTACCTGGTTTATCCAACACCCAAAACTGGAAGGAACAAAAAAGAAATATATTAAACTTAAAATTCTATTTACAACTAGTCTATTCTATTTGATGTCGAAATGATATTCTTGGCCGATAATCGTCAGCAATCCCTAAGTATAGATAAAAAATTATATTATGTATTGACAAAATATTAATTAGTATTCTATACTACAATTATTTAACCTTTTTATAGTTCAAACAACAGGTTTTATTTAATGTATTACTATAATTATAACGAAACTTTGTTAATTATTAGTATTAATTGAATAAAATATTAAGTGTAATATATAGCATAATGCTTTAGCAATAGCATTTTTTGTAAGGAGAAAGAGAGTATCAAGATTATTAGAGTATTGTAAATAATTACTTTTAAATTGTTTAGGTACGAATAATTGAGGCTTTATAAATCTTAAATTAAATTTTTTGTAAAGCATATCGTTAAGATAGCAATGTAGGCCTGTGTAAGTTTTTGCTGACTCAGAACAAAAAATCTGCGCACACTTATAAATTATGAGTTCCTATTAACTCATACTATAAACTGCTTATAGTAACTTACAGGTACTTATAGATTATTCTAGTACAATTACATCTTTGGTAGTTTTGACTGTTCTAAAAAATTTTAATTTAATAATTTGTTTTACTTTACTATTATTATTATTTTATTTAATGTGTTTATAAGAAAAACATTTTATATCTATTTATTTTATAAAACATAAATAATTTATATACTTATTTTTTCTAGGAAACGAAATAATAAACCTAAATATTTTTAGACAAATTTTAAATAATCAATATTACCCAATTCCAAAAATTGTTTTACCAAAATTTCAAAGTCTCGAAGGCATATTTAAAGTATATGACCCAGATAAGATCGGATGCATCTCTAATGGATGTTTTAAACTAACATTACAACAGGTTATCCGTAATAATGATATCGTAGACCATTTAATGAAACCATTTTCTTCTGACACGGTTTGTTATGAAGGTATATAACAAATTTTAATTTAACATTTTTGCTATATGACAGCTATATTCATTTAATTTTAGAATGGTTATTGAAAAAAAGAAAAGATTTGTATAACAACCAGGAAGCTTGGAATATTTCTAATAAAACACATTACGGATAATTTTTTTTCAAAATAAATCATATTATTATCAAAATACTTTTTAATTTATTTAAAAAATATCAACAATTATAATTATTTAGTTTACTTGAATTATTATGTTTGACTGTAATACATTTTTAGAAATTTAGGAAAATATTTTAAAATTAGACTATTGCAAAAAATGGCATTTAACATTTTTTTTCTCTATTTTATGCTGCTATAATATTTTAAAACCTCCAACCCTAAAGGAATATTAATAGAGCATATTAAAGACAATAACCTATCTTTTGGTAGGTAATTTATGAAAATTCAATAAAAAACGTACATACAGGAAGAATTTTCAGTATTTATTCTCTATTTAACGTACAATTCTCAAATGACAACCCCAATATTTTCTATATTATCAAATTTATTCAATTGAATTAATCATAGAAAACTATAATAATTAATTTACAGAACTTTAACATTCAAGTGAGCGTCCCCGTAATTAAGATTTAATTCAAAGAACATTTAAATAATATTATATTAATAATATAATTAATCCGATGTATGTTTATGTGATAAAAGAGACCGGATGAAACAAAGTCTTAGAGCTTAACATAAATAATTTACTAACACATATATGATCTGGTAGTACACTAATATGGTACAGTTAAAAAATAATACTAAAATAGGTAACTGCCGTGGGTATCCTTGTTGATGACTTTGACTACAATAGTTTCAATAACTCAAAAGTGACTATAATTCTAATTACTATGATGGCTATGTGATAAACAACTACTTTTAAGTAACATAAATAAAACGGTAACACAGTGCGGTCACAGCACAGCATAAAGTTAGTTATGGAATAGTTGAGATAAGTGTAGATGATCATCTTTGACAGTGATTAAAATAACTATCATAAGAAATACTTCGATGCAAATCTGTAGATAGTGTTTAATTCTAAGAACATGATGCATAATTACAAAAGCAACATTAGCAATGAAATTATTTATATAAAAACATGTTATCAAAAAATTTGGAATATTATAGACTGGTAGTATCACATACAAATAGAGTGAAAAATTAATAAAATACAAAGTAATTTTGTAGTTGAAACCTATTATCATATCAAACCTAATTCGACAATAAACACTATAAAAATATTAGAGATGAATGATTTTAACTGTCTATATGGAAAAAGGTGGTAAAGCAATTTTTTATTTCATAAAGAAGATTTTTTTCAATTTTTTAGGATAATATATTTAACTGGATACTAGTTGTGATCATTTTACGTATCGTTAAAAAAAAAAATACAAAATTCACCGATTTTTTAAAATGTAATTTTTAGGAAGGTGGGATTCCACTGTATTAAACCAACAAAAAAAAAAAGGAGTTAAATAAATAATTTGTAGTTGGAATAAAAAGGATAATGTAATGAATATATATTAAATATATATATATTCAATAATACAAAATAAAATAAGATAATATATTGCGGAATAACACGTCTTTAAGTATGACAAAATATGTAAGGGCGTAAAGAGTATAATGATATAAATAAAAAGGGGTTTAGAAAGGTAAATAAACGGTGGTTGAGCATAGAAAGGTAATGGTCAAATAAATAAAAGAAACACGAATGTTTATGAAAAAACAGTGGATTGTTCTCGGGGTTCAACAATATTGAATCAATTATGTTAAATATTCTTTACAAAACTTAATAATTTATCTTAATGATTTATTACGCAATAAATTGTTTGTGATTTGAAATCATGAATTAAACTTGTACTTACCTCGTATCCCATGTAACGTAATGATATTTTAAACAATCCAATGTTGATTGTGAATTCACATTATATTTCACACGCTGTACACTATGCGCTGTATAATCAATATGACTGTTTAGAAAAACGATTTAATTTTAAATAATACAAGATCGTTACACAATATCAATGACTGACTTTTTATGTAAAAGATTATAGGGTCAAGTGGGGTAAATGGAAATGAAATTTACATGTTTTACAACTTTTATTAGATTCATGTAGTAATAATTTTTTTTAATTTTGGTTTAGATAAAAACTATTTAACTATATTCAATATGTGTTTAACATTTCAATCAAACGTTAAAATAGTTGATTATTTTAAGAGAAAAAAATAATATAAAATTGCATAAAAAATTTACATTTGCCCCATACTTCTGGGGTAAATGAAAATAACTATTTCCAACAGCAAGTGTTATATTGAACAAACATAATGGGCAAATGAAATTGTTCTGTTACAGCTATCATTATATTACTTCATGTATTCGATACCTACAAATTTCCATTTGTCCCAAATAGTATATTGTGTATGGGGTAAATGAAAATTAAAGTATAGTTGATAATGTTATAAGCCTGGGGCAAATGAAAATTTGTTTGAATTACATAAATTACAATTAAATTAGTGAAATAATTAGGTAATCTTTATTATTTTAATATAATTTAGTACAGTTTAATGCTTACTTACTATTTCATAAACTTTCAAAATATATTAACAGTCTTTTGTTTTCATATAATAGTGATAATAATAATTTAACATAAAAAATAACAATGTAAAGTAAATATTATAAACAAAATAACAAACTAAAAGCATTTTTAGTTTTAAAATATACCGCATAAATTAATGTATGAATAAGTAGGTAACATAGTGCCTAAACTAATTAATTTTCATCAACATTTATGTATCCAGCAAATGTGTAAATCGTTTTTCTGTTCTTCTTATGTTCAGTTGGTATTGGTAATATTGCAAGAATCATCTCTACTGTAATATCTGACAAGTCATTTTCAACAATATAAAAATCAGTTCCAATTTCATTATTTTTTTTTAATCCTCGGACTAAAATATCCCCATCATCTTTATCTACACGTTTAACTAAACATACATACTTAAAATGTTGTTTCTTACGGTTCCCTCCAATAAAATCTATTAAAATAAATACTCCAGGTTTTATTTGAGACCAAATTGGTGTATTGTATAAAACTTCTTCAATACTTAAATCTAATGAATTGTCATTACAATCATCTTCTAATGAATGATAAACTACATCATCAATATTATCAATTGATTGTTCCAACACAATATTTTGTACATCTTTAATAGCTTTCTTAGGTCACCCAAGTTTACTAGGATATTTGATTAGCTTTTTGTTTGAGGTTGCTTCCTCCAATTATTTTAACACATTTTTATTTGTAAAACTTCACCATACTTTGTTACTCTAAGACGAGGAACTCGGTCTTTTGTAACACAAATTGTATTGTTAGTTTTATATTGTATTAATTGTATTGAAAAAATAGACATTATATCTTTTGGGCTTACTGAGATATTATTACTTGATGTTGGAAAAATTTAGTCTATAAAAGTGTTTGACGTTGAAGGTTCTAATGAAATTTGATTTTCTACAACTGTTAATATGTTTTTTTGATATAATTACGTATTCTGAAGTTGAAAAAAAAATGATAAAGATCGTAATATTTCAAATTATATTTGTTATTAATATTTCCATTTACCCCAAAACCAAATTTCCATTTACCCCAATTGATTTTTATTTTGTATTTTACAAAAAAAATATAATTCCATAGAAAAAGTGATATTAAACTAGTTTTAGGGCCGTATAGTAAATAAGTAAATATGAAATGACAATTTAGTTCAAACTGTACTGTTCTACTTATATTTTTGATGAAGATACCCTTCTCAAAAGCCGTTGAGCAGAAAATATAATCTAAAATAATCATAAACACTTTTTCGAGTGATAACAATTTATACATATCCTCAAATTTTCCCTATTTTTATCATTGCACACTATTATACCTTATGTGTACTATGGTTATAATGATACCGAATTCTATAATCACTAATAATTTATTTTAAATAATATTTTTTTCCTTTTGCCCCAATTTCCATTTACCCCACTTGACCCTATTCACTTTGTATTTTTGTTATAAATATAATTATATAATGTACCCTTATTTCATTATGTTGAATAAGTATACTTTTGAAACAGTACAGAGTGATTTTTTTATCATAACCCACTCAATTACTTACAGAATAATAATAATTAAAAAATTTTTTTTTTATTATTATCTTTAGTTACACATTATTCTTGAATTATTAACTATGTAATACTTTTTAAGTTCATCCCTTATGGCTTGTAAGGATGTTAACTTTGTTTTTTTAAATGGGAACACATATTTTGAATTTAATAAAATGTTTGAGTTTTTAATTTAATAGTAATGGCATTTGAATTTTTAATATAACGTTATTCGTTTATTAGATAAAAACATTTCAAATTTTTGAGTTAATATACAGGTTTAATACACAAGGGATTACAAATATAGGTAGCTAATTGGTTTTTTATGAAATTGCTGTCACAGTCACAGATTGTTTATTATAAATCATGACTATCAATAGATATACTTTTTGTATTGTAAATTAATGTATTTATAAACTCACAACAATGTACCTTACTACCATTGATGATAACAATGCTGTGTACCTGCTAATACCGATATCATATAAAACCAATTAGCTACCTATATTTGTAATCCCTTGTGTATTATACCTGTATATTAATTAAAAAATTTGAAACTTTAAATTTTTATATCTAATAAACAAATAAAGTTATACTAAAAATTCAAATGCCATTTATTATTAAATTAAAAACTCAAACATTTTATTAAATTCAAAATATGTGTTCCCATTTAAAAAAACAAAGTTAACATCCTTACAAGCCATAAGGGATGAACTTAAAAAGTATTACATAGTTAATAATTCAAGAATAATATGTAACTAAAGATAATAAAAAAAAAAAAATGTTTATTTTATTATTATTCTGTGAGTAATTGAGTGGGTTATGATAAAAAAATCACTCTGTATATTTTATTGAGAGATCGACATCAATATTTTTTAAATTTTTCTCTGGCCTGGCCAAAACAAGATTCAAAAATATTTATATCTATGTAAAAGATTTATGAAGGCGGTATTGTGGTGGCCCAATGTATTCCATCGCTAACGCCTTGAAAGCATGCGGCACAATAATCACCAAGTCAAAAATTAAACACTAAAAGTATATTCGTAGGTTTCTTTGTGCTGCTTACCTGCACGATGTTCGTTAAAACAATGACATTAAGCTCAATGACTAGCTACCCAATACATATAGGCTTACAAATATATTATAACCTAATATACCTAACTTAAAAATAATCTTTAATTGCTTGGTGGATAATTACAAAAGTAAAATATTTTTATTTATATATTATATAATTTTTATAATTAATTCTTTTCAAATTATTATTGATTTTTATTTTTAATGTGTTAAAAATAATAATTTTAACCTACTTTTTTTCGTCCTTTAAGTGAAAGTTTATAATAAAAAAAAAATGAATTTATTATATATTAATGAACTTGCAAGTTTCAAATTGATATAATTAAATAGAATAAAAAGGTATTGTTAAGATTAATATGCAGTCAGAAAGTTTTATAATTACTATTTATTATAAATTTATCAGAAAAGCTCTATTTTTTTTTGCATTTTTATCGTAATAGATCACTTAAATATAAATCATAGTAATCATTTATAATTAACTTTTGGTGTTTTAAAAGATTTTACAATTATAATATACAGAACTCAATTAATTTTAATGATTTACTTTAACTAAAAAACCAATAAAAAAAATTGTTAAAAATATCTACTAAATTGAGCATATTATAAATTATAATACGCAAATATTATAATTTATAATATTTGATTGTAATTGTAAAAATCGATTGTTAAATTTAGATAAAACTAAAAATCATTTTTTTTTTTTTTAGATTTGTGTTTTATATAGCAACATGTTACCAAAAACTTTGGAATATTATAGATTGTTAGTAACACACATAAATAGATTAATAAATTACAAAGTAAAATTATTTACTTTTGCAGTTGAATACTTTTATCATATCAAATCTAATTCGACAATATATATATATTAAAAATATTAGAAATTAATCATTTTAATTGTTTGTATGGATAATGCTGTTAAAGGTACTTTTTATTTGATTAAGGGATTTTTTTTCAATTTTTGAGGGTAATATCTTCAACTAAATACGAATTGTAATAATTTGGCATATCGTTGAAAAAAGTAGGTTAATTGAGGGTAATTAAGGTCGAATACTCTATAATACGCCTGATGCCATAGAAGATCCCAATGGTCACTTTGCTTTTTGGCTAACTACCCCGTGAGAAGTTAACAATCCAACCGTATTATTGCTGGATTAATGGGCCTTATTTGCTGTTAGGAAGCAGTTATACCGAAGTTCTAACTAACCAAGTCATGATCGTTTGTGTTACCACCACCTCTGAGGTAACTAAGACTTGCATGGTTATTAAACGCGTGATCCTTGTAGATCCCCTAGGGATGCTTAGAAGTTTATTTTTTTTTGGTTCAAGATATTATTTCAAATTTCAAGTTTTATATCTTCAATCAAATATAATTCTAGATCTTTAGATTAATTTATCAATAAAATTAATACATTAGAAGCCAAGCAAACATGAAGCTACAGACACAAAAAAAAAAAAAGAAAAACATGTTATTTTTGTTTCCTATATAAACATATACATATACAGAGTATTCAGTAAGTAAGGTAATGGGTCAAATGTTATAAACAATGAAAATTATAGAAACCCGTTTCCTTACTTGTTAAATACTCTATATAGTAAAATAAATACTCTGAGCATCGCATCGAAACTTAAAATTGGTGTGTGGAGACTGCAAAACAGAAATAATTAAATAAAGGTTATAATACAGTCGTTTATAAACTAAACCAAATCTAAATATCTCTCTTTTTTTAGTTAAATGAGAGAGTTGATAGAAGTTCGACGTCACTTATTATGACATTTCTCTGATGTTATGATAGTATTTTAGGTTATACATAGACAATTAAAAAAAAATTATTTATTTGTGTTCAAAGTTATTTTTGATGTTGAGGAAGGGAAACTTTATATTTTACATACAAACGCAAACGTTTTATTTTTAATTTAAGAAACCTTGTTACTTAACTTTCAGTATTAATTAGCAACTTGGTACCTATTTACTTTTCTCAGAAAATCTATCGCGTTACCTGACTTGTGGCTTTTTGTCATAAAAGCGTTCTGCGTGTCTACGTAGCGTCTCAGTTCGTATAGATATAATCGACCCCTTGACCCAATTTCGGGTGCATTATCGAAACAAAAGTCGACCTTCGAAATGAAACGTCGCGACCACCGTTTTATATATTGTACAATTCACAAATAATGTGAAACCCTTTAAAACGTTTGGTCGTCAACCTTGCAAGACAGTCGTTGGTGATGTCCAGGTAAGCTTATGTATAAATTAATTTAGTAAATAATTTCTTGTTTCAATTTTTAATCATATATTTTTGCCTTGCAACCTGAACAAATTATTTCTTAAAACACAATAAGGCTTGTGAATTAGATTTACTTAAATCATATAAATTCTTAACGGCTTATATGTATTGATAAACATGGATTTAAATTTGAATATTTTAAATTAGAACACGCGTTATAACATTATAAAAACGGCTAAAAAAATATTACAACAAAAATTTAACTATTTTCTTAATTGTGAATTAGAATATAGAATTAAATATATATATGTAAAGTATATCAGTGGCTGGGTTACATCAGGTTTTAAGTTACCTTAAAGAAACCTTAACTAACTTAAAAATAAATATAAACGTCAAAATAAAACATTTTAATTTCAGTGTCTTGTAACCTTAAATTTTTAACGCATGCTACTCAATTTCTATAATAATAATGTTTTTTTGTTAATTACGTATGCATCTTCATTATTTGTAATAAAATAATTTTTATATTCATACCCTATATGAAATATAGATGTCAACATACATATTTAACTAGCTTATAAAATATAGAAAATTATATAATTAAAAAAATGACTGTGAAATAATAACTTTTGATTCAGTATTTTAGATGTTGTTAACAATTTAAAGTAATGTCTGGTGATGAGGAGTGTATAATGCTATTTATATCACTTTATATTTCTTGTTTTCACGCCTCCACTTGCGTAGTTATAAAATTGTTAATAACTTCTGAAATATTGTTACAAAAGATGTTATAGACCAGCTAATGAAAAAATAAAATTGACATTTTTATAAGGTATAAGAAATAAATGTAAAAGTATTTTGAACAGATAATTGGAAATGTATATGTCATTAACAAAATCCAAAAAAAAATTATTAATTTAAGAAAAATCACATAATATATAATACTCTTCATTTACGAATCTAATGTCATCAACTATTGGAACTTGATAGAAACATGTTAGTTTTCAGTTTACGGAAAGAATTTAAAAAATGATAAAGTAGAAAAACCTAGATAATATTTTTGGAAAATGTATATTATTATTCTTTGTCTGAATATAAAGCTTTTAAAATATTAGTCTACATCGGTGCCTAGAAATTAATAAATACTTTATGGAAACCTCTTTTTTAAATCTGTATATCGGAGAGCACGCGAGTATAATTAAAACAAATATCAGACAATATTATTGGCAAAAGTTTAAATAAATTGTGTTGTAGTAAAAATTTTTCTATAATATAGTCGTATTATGATTTATTATAAAAATGATAATTTATTATACTAAATTATCAATTATTTTAAATCCATTTAAAACAATTTAACTACACAATTTTATAATATTATTACTTTACTATTATTATGCAGTGGTTTTTAATGTTATATTCAAATACTTCAATACTGTTACTTATTCTTTTTAACTGAATAGAATTTAAAAATTCAAATAATAAAGTTCTATGGAAATATATATTTATTAATAATTAAGTGTCAGTTCTCTATTATATTAAATTTATGTATCTTCCATTTTCAAAATTAAGTATTAGTAACTTAATAAAAATTAATTTTTGTATTAGATGTCTATAGTATCCACTATTTAATGTGACTATTTATCTATGAATTCTATTTTAATTGCTTCAAATTTCGTTTTCAAGATTTACAAAATTTACCTAACGTGAATATTTATTTTGGAACGTCATTTAATAAAGTAGTATTATTTTGTTTAAGAATAGTGGAAAATTCTCTTTGAAGAGTTCGCATTTATTACAAATTAGAGGTTTCCTTTCAAGTATATTTCTAACATTGACTATGATAAATTATTAACTCAGCTTTAATGTTTGGGTTCAAGTAACGAGCTTGTTGTTTCTTATGAGCTTTAAGGTGAAACACAAAAGTCATTTGTAATGTATTTTTTTTTTTAAATTATTTACACTTGTCATACCTGAATAGATTAATCAATGATTTATTTTACTGTAACACTTACTTTCATTGTGTTTTAATTTATCACGAAAACACTTTTGGAAGTTATATACCTATTTTTAAAAGTTCAACACGAAATAGCTTTGTCTGTCCTTGTTGATTTGTATATAAAAGGTGAACATTTTATCAGTTCACCAACAAAAGTCTTTTTTGCCATACACACAACGATACCAAGGACAAAGTAAGTATAATAAAAATAAACTTCATGAGAAGCATAAACTTTCAAACTATTTCAATTACATTTTATATGCATAGACAATAAATTTGTCTTAACATCTGAACTGTTTTGATTTCATTTAAAATCTATGATTTGGTCAGTTAATAGAATTAAGAGTTTCTTACAAAGTAAAAACCTTTTTTATATTTTTTTGAAAAAAAAAAAAAAATTACATATTGATTAAACAAATAATTTTTTATAATTAGGCAAACTTATAAATCAAATGTAAGCCTTCAATAAAAGTTTTAATCTGAAACCAGTACTTTTCGAATCGTGACCTAATTAAGGGCCGTGCGTATAAACTTTTGTAGCTAGCCGTGAAAAGTCTTATTTTCATATTGTTTATTTTTAATAAAACAATATTATTCATGTGCATTGAAATAAAACGAGTAATTTAATATCATTATCATCTCATGTGCAGTTATATTAACAATCCAAGTATTGATTAAAAAAAATTCTTGAATATTTTTCTATTTTTCTCATAATGAAAAAAATGTATTTTAAGTAATTGGTATTTACGGTGTGTAGCCAGACAATTTATCGCGCGATGACATGATACAAGTACATTTAGTTAAAGTTGTTAAATACATATTAAGATAACGAAAAACGTATTTTACAATATTCATTGTAATTTTAACATATATCTTTGTATGTTATTTCTTACTTATGCATACGAAATCGATGATGGATTTGAAATTTTATTAATCTGTATTTATAGGTTATATTGTCTCTCATTATCTAGTTAAATATTGAATAGCACTCGTTTTAACGTAAATTGTTGTATATAAAATCAATAGGTACAAAATAATAACTTTACTTTTCGATGAGACAAAAAAATAAAAATAAAATTATAGGCGCACACTCAGAGGTAACAAAGAATGCTTTTTGTATATCTTGTTCCTAAAATTTTCCAAGTTATATTAATTTTATTAACTGGAATTTGATTGTGTTAGTTCCATCTTGAAACTCGCGTGTTGTTTATTTTGCTCATACGGTACTTAAAAATAGCGATTTGGCAAAAATTAAAGATTATCAAAAATAAATTTCGTATTTTAGCCCCAATAAGAAATTCTAAGTTATACACTCGGAATAGCATAATTGAATAATTTACTAATCTTTTTCAAATAAAAACTGGGCTGTGTGTTGTTGTACATTTAAGATTAAACAAAATTAGAAGTACAGCTAATTTTTATTGTTCAATAAATGTAAATTTTACGCATATTTATGTTTGAGTGATGTCTACTTAATGATATGATCAATAAAACGCAATAAAACACCGTCAATAATTAACTAAAATAAACATTTAGGTTCCGTAAGAGTAAGAAACAGCGTCAAGAACGACCCGTGTCAAATTCGCACCCACAACAGTCATCGGGTGGTCGTCTATGTCATTGGTACGATCATAAACGTTGTCCGCCATTCGTAACTGTCGATCAGCTACACAAATATCGGCGTAAAGGACTTGGGTTCGATCAACTGCCGCTAGCACCTCCATTTGGACAGTCGGACAGTCCCGTCGCGTTTGATACTGAATATAGGTTTCGTTTCGAGGTACCATATAAAACACCGGAGGAAATGAGCGTGAATAGGCGACATGCTGCGGTGCCCAAAGATGAACTACAGATGGAGGGTGACGCGGAATTTAGTGCCGAATATTCAGAGAATTTTAAAAACTCGCCTAGGGAAAGGCAAATAGCCGAAAGACATGGTAGTCACATAGGGCCATTCACGTGTCCCGATTGTCCATCTGTTTTAACTTCCGAACAACACGACCAATATGTGGCTTATGCAGAGGGTCGACGTGCCAGCAATGCTCGACCATCAACCGGACTCCGAATGGAGGGAAATATGGAATTAGATACGGAGCTACGACATAATTACGTGCCACATCCCGATGGCCATCCAGCAGAGAACTTACGTCCAAGCACTGGATTGAAGTTAGAAGATGGTACTATGAAGGTGGAGTCGGAACAAGCAGCCAACTACAAAGGATATCCTACAACACCTCACCCGTCTACTGAAGTCCAGCCAGGTATATATTTTCAATTAAGTAAAAAAGAAATAATAATAATAAGCAGAAAAGATAAATAATTTATTTAATATTTTGAAATTCGATAAATAAAAAAATTTTTGTTAGTATTAAACAAAGATTTTTTATAAATTTTAAAAATTAAAGGCATTCAATTCGTTCGATAAGTTATATCAAACTCAAAAATTGATATATTTTTGCATTTAAGCTAAACCTAATTGAATTTCTATTCTTATGCCTTCAATTTTTAATATTTTATTTTAAAAAGAATATTTATTTAATAAAACTACTATACTTTTTACTATAATTATTGCGCAATGCTTAATTGTAAAAGACGAATTGCACTTAGTAAGTTGATATAAAACTATCGAGAAGGGTGTAAACTTTTCTTTCGGTTAAATCTAGTAAAACATGAACTATTCATTACACTATTTTTCAATTAAATTTCCAATTGAAGTTTATCCTTTAAATATAATCTGCAATTAAATCTATTTAGTGAGTGTCAATCTTTAATTAATTTTGGTTTAATAGTTATAAATAGGCACGTAATTAAAAATTTCAACAGTAAATAATTTTTAGTACAATTTTTTACATATTTAGTTATTTATTTATCTAGACAAAAGTAAACAATATGTAATAGACCATAAAATATGTTATATAAATAACAGCTAAAATGTTGAGATTTTCACTAAATAATACTTGCTTATCAACAGCATCGAGTATAGATGACGTCCATTTTCAATGGTATAACGAAGCTGTAAGTAGAGAAATCATTAGCATAGCTAATGAAATTGCAGCTCCTCCAAAATTCACGTGTCAACCTAATTATTTACTAAGAAATTTAATTTTAAATAGATTTTGAGCAAAACAGATCATTAGAAATCATTTTTATTTTAAAATAACAGAAAAATTATCTTCTTTCTGAAAAAATTTCTGGCTGCGATATTTAGAGAATCGTAAAGCCTACCTACTATGACGCCTAATACCACTTACTATTGTCATATATTGATGCATAAATTGTATTATGTAACCTTACTGCTGCAAAGATCACAATCAGGCCATCAGCGTGGTACGACCAAAAAATTCATGTTGTACTTTTCAACCCATGGGAAGTCTGCCCGACAATAGCATCAAGGAAATGATTTATGTCAGAGACAGTGGCATGTTACTTCAATCTGCTCGTCCTGTATCAATCTACAGTCCACCAAGATTTGAGTAATTGATACACGCTTAAGTTATAATGTTTTGGCGAGAATAGCTTGGCTTTTAGCGGATGCGGTATGCTTAGAGGCTTATGGCTGACTTATTTAATATGCATAAATGTTAGAAGCGATAAGTTTTCCTATCAATTTTCCTCATTGCCGACTTAAATAATAATTTAAAGCTTAACGATTTACATTTAAAAAAAAATGTATGTATATTTGTTCCAGTTAAGAAGTGATTAGTTTTGATAAAAATGTATTCAATAAAATTGTAGTATATCAATATTTTTTACAATAAATAATGATACAAAATATTTCAATGCGCAAACTTAATTTTCAAAATTTAAATAAATCGTGATAAATATAATATATAAATTTAATTTTAATTTAAATCGATTAATAATTAGTGACGTATTTAGAGATAAGCTTAGCAGACTAGAGCATAGGGGGGAGTCATTTCTCATCTAAAACAAATCAACTAAGGTAGTAATTTAGGTAAAAGTACCAGAATAGTTTGATTTAAGGGAACTATAATCTTAAAAACACAAATTTCAATATTAAAATTATAATTAATGTTGTAAACTTGTTTGAGAAAATTAGTGTTATTATAAAGAGTTAAATTTAACATAAAAATTATGTTAAAAAAACTCAATTTTGTAATAACTCATATAGGCTTTATTAGTTTGCCGATTTTAAAATTAAGTTTTAATACTTTAGGTCGTATAACTTTTTTGAATATAAAATGAATAATTGAAAATATAAATGTCTTTTGGGGTGAGATGTATTCAAAAGTTTCCATAAAAACTGTTAATTATAAAATAATTGTTTATTTATATATTATGCATATTATTGTTTTTTGTTTTAAAGTTTTTCTGTTATACACTTAAAACTTTTACTGTCTCCAAACTTTCTGAGTTGTTGTAGAAAATTGTACAAAATCAGTTCATTTCTATAATGATTATTATTATTTTTAACACAATACTAAATAAATTTCTAATCAAACAGCATACACTTAAAAAAATACCCGAATTTTCACTTACAGGTTATAGGTATATCATAAACTGAAACTGGTCGAACTTCACGCCAAGAATTTCAGGAATTATTAAAATTTAAAATAATGAGGCGAGGTGTGGGTGTTGCTATTTTTATCGCTAGTCGTTTCTTCGCCTTATTCCATAAGTTGTTATCGACCAGTTATTTTCTTAAAATTATTTTCTATTTTATAAGAACTATAAGCTTATAAATCAAGAAATATATGTAACTAAAAGAAATCAATTGTTTTTTTAAAATTTTGTATTTATTTTGTGAGTAATTGATGAGTGGTGTATGATAATCCTATTATACCGTATATGTATTGGAAGTTTTTAACGTGTACTATGGTAAGGGGAAATTTAGATAAGTATTAATAAAAATTTTTTATTTGTGTACAAATTTACAATACTTTATGTAAAAATTACTCTACTTGTGTGTAGTTAACGTGTATATTAATAATATTACACTGGATAATGGAAATTTTTGAATTATTACTTACAGTGTATATATTTATGGTAATTTATTAAAATGTCAATAAATATTAGAACTAGGGAGTAACTGAAAACACTATAGAGCTTATGAACCTCATAACTGAAAAAAAACATTTGATAAAAATAATCAAGCAAGTAAAGTATATTGAAAAACGATTTACATTTTTAAGTAAAAAATTTTCTAAGGCGATCTATTTTTCATAAAGATTTTGAAATTGACATGCAAAATAGCAGCAATTAGCTTGAATGGTAGAATGTGCGAATGCAAATTTGACTTGCTAATTGTTTTACTCATATTTTTCTTAAAATTAATGGTTTTCTTTTCAGACGCTCCCTTCCTGTTACCTTAAAAAAGCCGGTATATCGTTTGGAAGTAGTTGACTGCAGTAGAGATGGAGGTGGTATGTTGAAAAAAGATGCGACAAATTTATCGAAAACGTTTCCAATAGCTCTTTCTCCAGTAGAAGAAGCATTTGTAGTACTCGAAAGACCGACAGGATCTATAGGAACTGGTGGAAATCGTTGGGTAAAACGGAGACAACGGAAAATGAGGACTGTACGATTTTTCGATGAACAACGACCAGTTTTCGCTGAAGGAAAAACTGTACAATAATTACAAGCCACCTCCAAAAATTGCTAATTAAATGAAACAGAGATGTACTTAAGGGAGTGCTCGAGAAGGGAAAAAGTAAATTTTAGACATTTTCATGACTGAACTAAGAGAAGTAATATTCATGTCACAATACGTATAAACGAAGTAATACGCACAAATCTATAGCAAATATAATCATAGATAATTTGTTTTTAATGAAAAACTGTAAACGATAAAATATACTTATAAAATAAAATGTTTTAAATTATATCTATAGAATATTTCAATATTCACAGTTATACAGGATGATTCATTAAGTATAAGTCAATTATTTTCTTGAGAAATATCGAAAATGTTTAAATTTCTTAACGTTAAACATTGTTTCATTCAAAGAATTTTATATTTATATGCAGTTAAATAATTTTCTTTAATGGGAAACTTAATTTTAGTTTGATGATTTGATAGAAAAAATTGTTTAAATAATTTCGTTATTATAATATTTTTATTCTTCCTCTTTTATTGCTTATTAAGGTTTAGCGATTTTTTATTAATTTTCTTCTTAAAATTTACTATTTAGCATACAGTAGTTGTTATTACATCATAAAGTCATATAAACAAAATTTTTTTGACAAATCTTGTTATCGTATCTGTCAATTTTTTTTTTTTTTTACAACCGTTAGGTTGGTTAATACCATTGGTATATCCTGGGGAAATTTAAGTGCAGTGGTCTCTTTTTGCCTTCTACACTGGGGACATGGTACATTTTCGCCACCGTAGAAGCACACGCATGGTCACCCATCCGTTCACCTACGGCGGTAGGCGCGGCTTAACACTAGAGTTTTGTCAATAACTAGTGTGACCACCATGCCGATCATGTAAAAATAAATATAATTTAAATATTGTTTAAATTACAAAAATATATGGCCCATTGAAACAAATTATTTTTGCAGAGTATTTATGATTACTAATTTAATGAAGCATTTTTATATTAAATCCAAATTTTTAAACAATTTTAAAACCCAAACGATTGATCGAGTAAAAATAAAATACTATAAACTTAAGAAAAAACTAAGGGAACTTATACATTGAAAGTCTTTAAAAGGACTTCCATAATAATATAACAAATATTGAAACATTCATACTCAGTTTATAATTGATGAATTTTGATATGATTTTAAAAATTATTAATTTGTATAGATATATTAAAAAAAAATATAACTAATAATATTAATTATAAATTATAAAATTATTTATGTAATAATATAATTTTTTTCTATCAAAATATAATAAAACACCGTTCTATGGTAATACAACTAGTCGTAACTTTTTTATTCTAAGGATATGGATACATCGATTACGCAGATTAATTATGGTATTCAAGAGTAGAATTTTGAATAATACTCTGATTTTTTTTATTGTTTACCTTCTTTAGTATTCCCAGTCGGATTAAATCTAGAATCCAGAGTTCAATTTTTATCGAATCCACTAGTGAATTTTTTTATTAGTTATGACTCCGTGTTGTTGATGTTGGTCATTTTATTTCGATATATATACATAATTACTTTACGCCAAAACATTATTTATATTTTATAAAAAGAGAAACATAATTGAATTTTCGTGCGTGTGATGTAGCACAATTCAAGTAAAAGATTTGAAATTAATATTATTTCATAGTTAATGATCGTCATTCGTCAATTTTATGCAAGCAGTTAAAAAAAGTAAGTAATTTTGAATTAACCTAATTATTTAGAATTAATAATTTAAGTAAAGAACAATAAATCAATCGATAAATTTAAAACACAAATCATTTAATTTAATTATTTATAATTATATATTGTTGGTCATATAATATGACTGGGTGTCAGAGGGGAGGTCTCCGCCATTCAAAGAATACCTCAGTATTCCCATTAAAGTACATACTAGTTAATTCAATAAATGTTTCGAGAAGGTGTCAGATACCTTTGCAACTACAAGAATATCTCAGCGTATAATACGAATAAAATATGAACATTAATAATTTTTTTTTACATCTATATCATTATTGTTTTAAGCCTTCGATTCTACAAACTTCAATAAAACGTTGATTCTAATCAATTGACCAAAACCCCAAACATCCCAAGCTTCGTCAAATTATTCACAACATTTATCATCTTTTTTTCTATTATAACAGAGTTAATCAACATTATTATGTTGTATAATACCATAAAAACGACTTAAATGTACTAAGATATTTGAATTCTTTTTATTAAATTCAAAATATGTATAAATTATTTTAATTAATAAATATTAGACCAAAAACTTTGCGATACTTGTTGTTTGCACTTAATTCATTTATGTAATCATTTTTTTTTTTTTCATGTAATATATCGTATTTTACTTAATAATTATACATATTTATACGTATTAAATTGTTCATTATAAGCTATGCGTCTTAAAATAATAATCATGTTAAACCTCATTGGTAGTATAATATCACATAGACGACTTTAATTTTAAACAAGTTTATAACAATTTTTTTTTAGATTAGAGATTTATATTAATGATTTAATTAATTAAAACTTAATAGTTCAAAACATTTGTGACATAACTATATATAATAATAAACTATAAAACCAATAGAGTTAAGATTTAAATCAATTAATTTAAATAAACAAAATAATATAATAAAAATTACAATTCATGGAACAAAATGCATCTATTAAGTTTTATTAAACATAATAAATTATTTATAATTTAAACTATTTTTATCCCAATTTTATGTAAAAGAAAATTTAAACATAGATATACAGGGTGATTCATTAAGGATAAGACACTCATTTTCTTGGTAACTATTGAAAATTTTAAATTTCTATTAAGGAAAATATTGTTTAATTCAAAAAACTCTACAATAATATGTAGTGAAAACATCATTTTTTTCATCCCTTCAAGGTTAAAAAAAATATCTACTTGAATTTTCTTAAATGGGAACCCATATTTTGAATTCGTTATAATGATTTAAAAAAAAATACAAACAACTTTGTTTTTTTTTTCCGATCTATTGTTCGTCTGTAACAGCTTATTAAAAATAAATGATTTTGGATCTAATTTCTATTATTATTTTATTGTTTTGAATACAGGAGTCACTCATTTTGTATAGTATAACATAAACTAATTTATCATAATTCAGTTTATGACGTTATGCTACAACTTTCAATATGATCCGTCAACAAAAATATCTGAATTTACATTTATAACTACAATTACTTACAAATAGTAACGTGAAAAATGCTTCAGTGTATTAGAGTACCTGGGACCGTATCAAATGTAATTATTCAATTTTTTTAAATTCAAAAACCTTTTAAACTGAAGTTCTATATTGCTCTAAGTTGCAGTTGACCACGAGCTACCGATTAGCTTTTATTTTGTATGGTTCCTTAATTATTAAGTAATCTTTTACAACGTTTTATTGTAATTAATACGTGGAAATATATATTTAATTATTTTTTGTTGGGAGACACGTCTACTATCGATAGCGTTGGGCTAGACAGTGAATTCGTCAAAAATTAAAGAAATGTTTATCTTATACGATCAATTGGTTGTGCATGACACATCGAATAATACTCATTTGCACTAAAAAACACCAACCTTTATATGACCAACCGGTCATATTAAAACGTATATGACTATAAAATCATGAATAATTTATGTTATTAATTTTATCTATTTGTTAAATGTTTTTAAATTTATTATGTTACAAACTTTTTGGGTAAAAGAATTTATAGTCCACAAATAATCCCAATTGTTAATAATTTATTTTTGAATTTCACCTATTTTAAAAATGGAGATTAAACTCATCGTTTTGGCGTCTTTTATTAAACAAGTCACGCAAAAATGATTTTCTTTTTTCAGAGGTTACTTACATAAAGATAAATGAAGCTGGAATTATTATAGTAAAAAAACATCCGGTGATTTTATTAAAAGCGTTTCTAGAGCTACTTGGTTCTATAGAGTTAGCGTTCATTTGATCGAAAGTTGACGGAAATTGTTCGGTAAAGTTAAAATAACAAAAATGGACCTACAAAATTTTTTGATAAATATCGTCTGCTCTCATCGGACTTTGCGTAGAAATCATTCAATAAATATGCGCAAAACATTGTTAAATAACCGTTTTAATATGTCTCTCAAATTATACAACGAGTATTGATATAAATAACATTTTATGAATGTAAAAACATAATGTAAATATAACTTATAATATTAACCAATCAAATACAGCAAAAAATATTTCAAGAATATCACCAGAGATCGCTAAACCAGTTTTGCGGGCTATAAAAAGGCCATTTTCCCCCAATTTCGGGCGGTTCTCTTACGGTGGTTCTTTTACAAGGTGCTTCATTTACGGTGGTTATGTACGGTTTCTAAACATCCCTCTAGCGGACACTGGGACGCCTTGCCATTCTATCTCTGCATCTCTACGGCTCTCTGGAACTCTCAACCAAGATACAAAAAGTGAATGTGCGTGAGTTTATGTTTCATTCTTAGTTACACTTCTATATAAAATCTGCACTATTTTTACCCTCTTTCATAATTACTGAAAATATTACACATCTTATTTTCGGTCGAATACTTTTGATGATATAAATATTCTAACACATATAAAATATTGGTGTTTATTTATTTATTTTTATCTATATATATGTGGCGGCCGAATGTTCTAGAACGTTCGACCGCCGCCGCCTCTAGAAGATTCTTCGGCGGTCGATTGTTCTGGAACATTCTACCGCCTATATAAGAAGTGGGACCGTTGCTCCTAGTTATCAATCATCAAACCACAGTGTCCAGTGATCAGTCATCAGTTATCATTTTCATAAATTGTTCATTTTGTTCGTTGTTCATTGTTTATAGTTAATCAGTTTAAATTATTATTTGTTATACTGTAAATTTACTGTTGTAATAAAGCATATTTCCCACAATTGGTGACCTCGACGTGATCTGAAGAAACGCTCAACACCCGGATTCTGAAGCCACTATCAAAATGGAAAACGTCAACACCAACGCCGTCGCCAACGCCAACGTGAACGCAATAGGTGTCCGCATCCCGCCATTCAACCCAGAGGACCCTACATTGTGGTTTGCCGTCGTGGAGCGAAGCTTCGGGGTATCCAAGATCGTCCAAGAGGATACCAAATTCGGCTACATCATCGGTGCACTCGACCAAAAATACCAAACCGAGGTCCGCGACATCATTCTCAACCCGCCAGCAGCCGAGCCTTACACACATCTGAAAAAAGAGCTGATCAAACGGCTGAGCACCTCTCAGGAACGGAAAACACTACAGCTGTTGGAGAAGGAAACTCTGGGCGATCGCAAGCCCTCACAATTTTTAAGGTATTTAAGTGACCTTGCAGGTACATCTGTTCCGGACTCGATGCTG